TTACGCGCCATGTGAACAGGGAACAGACGAAACAAAAAACTACAAGTAGTGACCATGATTCCCGACGTTCAAAAAGTAATTATTACTTTTTACCAAAAGGTAATACACGAGTTCCTGTGTGCAAAACAATGTTCTTGTACACTCTGAGCATTAGTGAGAAATTTCTACGCACTTCCTTAGGCAAATTAAAAAATACTGGAATTGTTGAACCCGAAAAACGCGGAGGGCGTAATACTCAATTAAAACAAAAAGATCGACACATTAGAGAACTTATAGTAGAGCATAGCAAAAGATTTCCACGAATGGAATCGCATTATTGCAGAAAAAAAACGACTCGTGAGTATTTGCACTCGGATTTGACAGTAAAAAAAATATACAGCATGTTTATTGATGAAAAAATCGAGCAAGTTAGCTATGCACTGTATCTTGATGTTTTCAAAGGACTTCGTTTATCTTTCCATAATCCTAAGAAGGATCAGTGCGGGTTATGTTTCACTTATAGACAAGGTGATCTTGACAAAAAACTGGAACTGAAGGAAACCTACCAGCAGCATATACTCGAGAAAGAAAAAGTTCGTTATAAGAAACAACAAAAGAAAAGCGATTCTAATCCTTTAGAAATTTGCACTGTATTCGATCTGCAGCAAGTCATTTTTTTGCCAATCACCATCGAGAGTAAATTATTTTATCGACGCAGATTAGCAAATTATAATTTGACTGTGTATAACATTAAGTCTAAAGAGTGTCATTGTTTTTTGTGGCATGAGGGTTTGAGTAAGAGAGGTGCTAATGAAATCTCTACCTGCTTGTTCAAATACTTGAATCTTCTTGACGCTGATGGCATTACAAATGTAAATTTATTTTCAGACAGCTGTAGCGGCCAAAATAAAAATTCTATTGTAATATCTATGTTCTTACATGTGGTAAGTTTATCAAAACATATAAGAACAATTTCTATTTCCTTTTTCGAACCATATCACGGTCAAAATGAAGGTGATTCTGCACACAGCGCCATCGATAACGCTGTTAAAAGATCAGGTGATTTATTTTTACCATCCCAGTTGGCACCAATTTTAAAACTCGCTAGAAGGAATAATCCGTACATCGTCCACTTACTAACATCCGATGATTTCATAAATTTCAAAAAACTTTCCCAAGATCTCAAAATCCTTTCGGTAAGAAAAGACGACGCAGGAAATTCTGTTGACTGGAAAAATGTACGTGAAGTAATGGTAACAAAAGACCGTACTGGAAATATTTATTTCAAAAATAGCCACTTGCAGGAAGATTATAGGTATATTAGCTTAAACCGAACAGCTCTTAGCCCTTGTTCTTTACCACCTCGCTTGAATCATCCCAATGGTCCAAAAATATCTGCTGAAAAATATAAAGATTTGATGGACTTATGTAGTGGGTCCACTCCAATAATAAAACTCAAGGAACATGTTGATTTTTTTAAAAATTTGCCACATTAACAGCTTCATGTTACGTATGTATCAATTGATTTATGTACTTATAATTTATAAAGAATAAAGTTTAAGTTGTTTAAAGTAGTTCACTTGTGTTTTTCTTTGGGCGTAACTACACCTTTTTATTAAAATAAAAAATTCTAGTATATGACGAATGGGCGTATCTCTTCTAAGGGATGATTTCACCCCTTTATAAAGGGGTTAAATGCGTGAGACTTATAATTTAGATACTATAAGTACATATTTTACTATATATAGGGTTTGTAAAATATTATTAGGATTCGTTTATTTTTCCCACAGTTTCAAAACTAAAGATTTATTTCTAAATCAATTTTCTCCAAACTTATTATTTTGAGATACGCCCCTTCGACTTGATAGGGACGAATTCTGACGACAGCTAATAATAACAAAATGAAAATTTTTATACAAGTCATGCAAAGTCGCGTGCCATTGCCAACCGAAAATATCTGAAATTCCCCTGCATTAAATGCGTTGAAAAGCACTTTTAGTTTTGTTAGGTTGGCAGCAGAAACTCACTAAAGTTGACGTCATCCTAAATATAGCGTAAAAATCCTATAGATTCAACAAGGCCCTAATGCACGCTCTGAATACCAAACATTGAAATCCCAGCACAAAAAGCAGCACGTAACTTCTCAGGTTTTAATTTACTTTTTAATCTGTCTTATTTACAGCATGCAACGATTCTTGTTAAATACATGAACAATGCACATGTTATAAAATATAGTATAAACAAACAAAAAAATAAATGAAAATAAAAAAATAATACCTGTATAAATTGAATTCTCAAAACAAAATAGAATGTATTCAACTGACCTGTGAATGCTCCTTATGACACACAAACTAATCACACACTTGATTGACCAATCAAGTTTAATACAAAATAAAAATTGAATAATGAACAATGGCGGACAAGCAGCTTCTTCCCTGGTCTCTCATTTTCCATCTACCTTTCGGTAATCTTTTTGTGGCGCGCCCTCGTTCGCATAAACTTCACACAGTGCATACATGGTTGCAAATTTATCATTTGCATTTCTATAGTAAACGTTTTAAAAAGTTGAGATTTGAAGAAATATTATTTCTAATAGGTGGTTTTCCTCAATTTCTTGACTTACTTCTGAATCGAAACTCTTCTCTAGACCGACACTGTTTTGGACTATCGCTGGTACCGACTCTGATTACTGCTTGCTGATTACTAAACCGACACTCTCTCTGAACCGACACTTTCTCTGAACCGACACTGCTCTTCCCATATCAATTTCCGCGTTTTATATTAAACTGTCCCTTGTTTCATCTGTTCTCTGACTGACCTAGATTGTCCCCCCATTTTAGACGTATTTGTCCTGTCATCATAACCCATCTGATGACTTGGGACACGTGCGTTATTCATGGCATCTCTAGGAATGTATGTTGAAATGTTGCATCATTTTGTCGCACGTGCGTAGTCCTTTGAAATTTAAGCCGCATTCCAATCTGCTTGAGAGATTTTTTGAATTAACGCCTGCTTGATGTAGTTGTAATTTGATGACTGGCTGGGCTGGCGGATTTCTCACAGTTGGTTTTGTTTGTTGGGGTACTCTTGATTTATTTTGAGAAGTTTGTATATGCGTGGTGTAAGTTTTCTGATTTTCTTCAAATAGCTTTTGACTTCTGATTATTTTCTTATGGTTTTCTGGGCGATTTATTTCCGTGTCACTACAGTACTAATTTGGAGTATATTATTGGAAGTTGTAGCGAATGACGTCATATTTGGCGGGTTTTCTGCAGCATTTGAAATGCTGCTGAATTTATATTTTTTATTAAAAATTAACGGCAACTCAAATTTCCCCCAAAATAGTGTTGATATAGGTACTTACTTTGTCTTTTAGAATTAGAGGAAAAATAATAAAAAATCACTAAATCTCGCTATTGGAATCATTCTTGTGCAACTGTCGAATTTCAACTTCCGCAAAACCAAAAGTTAACATTTTTAAATAGTTTTTTTCACAACTGTCAAAAAATGATGATGTTTGCACACTCATGACAGTTTGCGAAGTGACACTTTTTTTCCCAGGTATCGACTTTTTAACGTTCCCATAACGTCGTGCACGAACTAGCTATTTCGTACACCAGTACGCGAAATAGCTAGTTCGCACACTAGTGTCATGGTGACACATACCTGTCAAGAAACCAAAAACAAATAAAATTCACCTGCCTTTGATTGGAAATAATGGGCTCTTAGACTAATTTTTGAAATTGGGATATTTGGATAAAGCAACTAAAAACAGAATTTTCTGTATTTTTACTTTTGAAAAATTCATAGTCCTTCTTGAGAAATCAGAAAAAAAAGAAATGCCTCCAAATAAAAACCCAGAATTTATTTCTATGACGTCGCAGCTCGCAATTTGACCGTGTTGCCACTAATTGTCAACATTGAAAATTTGTAATAGATTTAATTCTGAAATGTTGGCAAAATCTCATAAAAAGTAGTTAAATTAATTAGTTATGGATTCAAGATTTTATATATTTTTTTTTTAAATTATGCTTAAACACAATATAATACAATTTTTAATGTTTAGTTTTATTTCTTTATTTTACGCTGCACTTCATCTAGTCACAACCGACAACAGCGCATTCGAACCTTTACGTATCTTTACAGAGCGCAACACAGCCGAGCCGGTCAGCTCCTTGCAACAACATAAGCGAAATCAAGAATATTTATGTGACGTCGGCAAATCGGCGCGTTTTAAATAAGTTTGAATTTCGCCAGATTCAAGTGCCTGTAAAAAACTTATTTAACCTTGTAGAACATTTTTTTTTTTGGTATATATGCCTAAAATAGTCCCTCCTTTGGGATTTTATACTTAAATTACGTATTTAAATTTTAGTGAAAGAGCCCATGCTGGCTTCGAAAAATCGATATTTAAATGGAGTTTTAGAAAAAATATTGTTTGCAACTCGTGCGCGAAATGTTTTTGGTGATTTCGAACGATCTTTTGACTCCGCTACTCGTCGTCAAAAAAATTTCGTTCTCGATCACCAAAATTTTACGATTGTATAAGTATAGGGTATTTGATTATATTTGGACCCATACCTACAGCCTTTACTATTCAAGATAGAAAAAAATTTAAATACAAAAATTTACAGTTTTTTTCTATATTTTGTTTTAACGTTATCAGAAAAAACAAAATCGCATCGGAAAATGGAGAATCGTAGACAACTTCAACTTTTTTCAATGGAACACCCTGTATATTTTGCGCTAAAATGAAAGATCTTTTCTTCCTGATTCCAAATATATATATATATATTGATCACATTTGAGTGAGCCGTTTTTGAAATATTTTAGCTTAAATTGTTATTAATTGGCAAAGAAATTTCATAAGGATGTCAAGACATTCAAATCCGCTGATTTTTTTCTCGATACATATGTTAAAAAAATGTTTCGTGATTTTAGCATACAAAACGCTATGCATTAAGCAAATCTCTGACTGATTATTTGCTTTATATAACTAAAATTAACTGCCGTATTTTCAGGAACACTGACGAGAGCACCAACGGAAGCGGACCCCGAGTCCAAGAACAGGGCATAGTATCATCGCAGCACAATCTCCTCAGTCAAGAGTACGAGCTGGCAATGATCCTGAAGGAAATCCGATTCATCACCGATCAAATGCGCAAAGAGGATGAGGCTCACACCATAACGAGAGACTGGCAGTTTGCTGCCATGGTAGTCGATAGACTGTGCCTTATAATATTTACGTTATTCACCATAATCGCAACTTTAGCGGTGCTATTCTCGGCACCCCATATTATCGTCTCGTAGCTGTAGCTACCCGTCCCTTCAACGCTAAAGACTCTTCCGTACGATATTATAAGTTTGCTGCTGTGCGCGGAAGTTTCACACCATGGGCTTTTTGCGAACCGGTTCACTAGTAAGTAAAAAAAAAAACAGATCTCTAGTTAGTGTTGTAAAGTGTTGTTGATAATGGGGCTTCTCAAAACTTAAACCTTCATTATAATACAGGGTGATTTCTAAAGCAATTTAATTTCGAGCTGTTAATATTTATGTTTGAATTCTTTAGGAACATTCTGCAAATATAAAACAGGGTAATAAGTCGTTGCTGATACTGTTTTTGTTAATTTGACATAAAACTGACTTGGAAACTCTTAGATGTAATTTTTTATGAGACTTTTAAGTTTTCAGTCTACAAAATCTCAAGATAAATATCGAATTAGAATCATTGATATGGTTAAATTAAGTTACAAATCCGAACTGCTCAATTTATTGTCTATTTAGTAGACAGTTTCTTATAAATTTGGATTTTTGTGTGTTTTCATTTAAATTTTGGACATAAATATCAGCCCAATAAATTCCGATTCTGAATTAAAAAAAAAAAAAGAAACAGTGTTTTGTACTAACATTAGCTTAGTTTTTACTTTGACCCAACGTTTCGATCGATACGTATCCTCGATCGTTTTCAAGCGAACGACTACAGGTTGCATACTAAAAAGGCAGTCAATTTCCCCGGTAAAAGGATTTCAAGAAAATCAAGGTTGAACCGCGATTTTTCCGGAATTAGATTATCTTCCACTTGGTAAACGATTATTTTTCCTAGGCTTAAGGTGCTAGACATTGCTTAGGATCGGTTCCCACATTGTTTCTATCACAAAGAGTTTTCGTTTTCCTTGATATATGCATAGCCACCTCAAATTTTCCCATGAGCTAATGGTGTTCTTTTGGTTCTGACTATTATTTTCTAGGTTGTGTTCTTTTATTCTGATGTCGAGTGGTCATTTAGTTTCTCTGTTTTTCCGCATTTGCACTCCCCCCAATATTGTTTAGGAAAATTTTGATCCGACCAGTACCAAAACAAATAACAAAATTATATTGAGCGATAATTCATTTAGAAAGTTTCCCACTCCCTCCGTTTAAAGTTACTACTATCATCCCCGACGCAGTGTTCGATTATTGTCATTAGTTAATTGGTCAGAAGATCTAGTGACTAAACTAATGAGGGCTAGAAGACATTAAAACAAGGTCTCATTCGACCACCAGTCTGTACAATTATATCTAATTGTACAGACTCAACTCAACCCTTCTCCCCATTTAAAAAAATTCATTGGGCGTGGAGGGTAGGGGGATGAAGGGAGAGAAACGCACGTATATCTCATAACATGCGCCCTCACTATAAAATTTGACGTGTCCGGGGTGGTTTTGGGCTAGAAAATTTATGTTTAAATATTTTCAGGGTGGACTGTTTTCCCTGGGACACCCTGCATAGAATAGGACTGCGACGCAAAGTTCAACTTATGGCAAAGCTTTCGTTGATAGTCACTTGGTTTCCATTTTGCTGGTTTGAAAATTTCATGTAAATGATTGCTTGTATGCTTCACCCGATACATTGGAAAAGCCATGTTTCCTAATCCATTATTTTCTCAATATTTTCAAGCTTTTCTTGAAACTTCTTCTATTTGGTTTGTACATGTTCGGAGACACAGGATCGTTCCATGACATCTCTTGGCTAGTTCTTGGATGAGAAGTTCTGCTTTTATGATCACTGACACCAACTGTTTGTAGTTAGAATGTATTTTTTCATCATTCAAGAAATTCTTCTCTATTCCTATGAGCCTTATTGTTGCTGCGCTGTTCTGATAATACAGGTATGTTTTTTTTTTGTCATTGAAGGAAATTCGGACAGTATAATACCATCTTTTTTTTTGATGGTATTGAGAGGCTAATGTTCTACACAGAACTGTTCATCCTTAATAAATATTCATGGTTGGATGATTTCTAATAATGCCTAACTGTTGATCTCCTTGAAGACTGATAATCAATGAGGATGTTAAGTCTTTTATCTTTGTTGATTCAACTGTTTCGCAGGCTTCGGATAATTTTAATTAGTTACCTATAGAGTTTTTTTTATTTTTAAAGGAAATGTGGCTATTTTGATGCTTCATTAATTGATTGATTGACTGATTGGTTTGATATACAGCAGCCAGGAAAGGATTAGTGTTTTCCTGACACTGCAGCTAGTTAGCATATTGTATCCCTTGCTGTGTAAGTTTCTGCTAAAATAGGTTGCAGGGCCGTATCTAGAACAAAATTTTGGGGGGGGGTTAGAGAAAGTGGCAAAAAAAATTTGTTACAATAGTAATAAAAATAAAAAAAATAAATAAGTTTTAATAAGTGTTGTTTGTTTTTAAGTTAAATTTTTTGAATGTTATTATTTTTTTTTGGGGGGGGGGGTTTGAACCCCCAAAACCCCCCCTAGATACGGCCCTGATAGGTTGACGCCTTCGCCAGGTGCAGTAGCCTCTTTATTGGTGTCTTCAGGTGACCCTCCTTTTGGATGGGCTCTTCCTCCAGAAGGTGTCGAGTTCTCTAGTGCGAGTGCTGGGCACTCGAATAAGACGTAAGAGGCTGATTCTTGGTCCTCCTCGCACAGTCTACAGATGGGTTCATCTTGATAGATACAATCTTGTGTAAGTGTTTTCTCAGTGTACAGTGATCAGTTAAGACTCCTGTCACAATTCTGATCTGATTCCTTGTGAGCTTCAAGATCTCAAAGCCTAGGATATTTAACCATTGCCTTACTGTGGTATTGCCTCGCTGTTTGATACCAGTGTTTTTTGTGTTCCTCCCGGATCCACTTTTCCAAGCATTTCCAAGGTATCGAGGTCTCTGATATTCCGAATACGGATTCAAGATCCATGAGCTGCCTTTATGATCCTTGCTTGGCTAGGGACTGCGCGTTTTCATTGCCGGCAACGCCCGTGTACCCCGGCACCCACGCAATAGCCACCCTATTATGGCTGGCTAGGGTTAGAAGTGATTGCAGGCAGTTCCACAGTAACTTTGAAATTATCTGTTGGCATATGTCACAGCTTTAATAGCTGCTTGGCTGTCTGAAAAGATCGTGATATCCTTATGTAGGGATTTCCGTATATTTTCGCACCCTACCTGCAGTCTTCACCTGTAAAGGTAGATGATAGGTGTAAATACAAAAGTTTTTCAGTTTTAGCTAAATTTTTAGAATCTATGATCAAAAACAAAAATTGAATGTTGGAAATGATTGAAATGAAATGTTGCATGCATTCAGCTTTTTTCAAATGGGATGCCTTATATTTGGTTCTATATTCTTGAAGAGCACAATTTACCGATTCCAAAAATATACAGGGTGTTTCGGAAATAGTGTTACAAACTGTAAGGGTCACTCACCAAAATAACGTTTCGTTTTCGAGGTACAGAGACGTTTCGCTTCCGGAGGCGTTGGTACTATAAATTGGAAAATATATATTTTTTTTTGTATTATATTTTCAAATTTTTAAGATAAATAGCTGAGATTTCCTCGGAAGTTTCGTACAGAGCCTATGTATATATTTTGTTCTTCTTCAAAAATAGCCATCATCTCTACGATTAATGAAGGGATGTTCTGTCTTTTTTGGAAAACACCGCCAAAACTATTTGAGATACGAAAAAATTGCAAGATACCAAAAACCTTTGCAATGAAACGGAGAAGCTAGAGGCTCAAAAAAAAAATTAAAAATGCGTTGATAAAAAATTTGAGTGGGTTCTGGGTGGTATTGCCCCCCAAAAAAGACCAGCCCCTTGACTTATCGTGAAGATTGTGATCATTTTTGGAAAAGAACAAAAGATATACGCTCTGTACGAAATTTGAGCTATTTATCTTAGGAATTGAGAAATATAATACAAAAAACATTTTATTTTCTTGAATTTCTAGCTCCAGTACCTCGAAAACGTTTCCGGACCCATATTCGCAGGAACTTTTTTCCCTATTTTGATGAGTTATATCCGCCCTTAAAGTTTGTAACACCATTTCTGAAACACCCTGTACATATAGTTTGTCTATATTTGGTTGAGCCGTCTCCAACCTATTTGGTTCCAAAAGTTTTAAAAATACTATCAGAGAAACCGAGTACCTTAAATTTTACCTGAAGCTATCACCTGTACAGGTAGAGTGGTTCACAATTTACAATTTTTGGAGCCGCATATTGTTGGACGTTGGACCTGGCGGGGGTTATGAGGAGATGAGAATTAAACCTAGAGCCAAGTACAAAAATAGGAAAGTATATTTAAAATAAAGCTTACCACAAATACATTCCAGATATGGGCATGGGGACTAATAATTAGCACGGACTAAAAAAGGCACTATTATTACTGACTAACTAACGCGGTTAATTCGCGGTATGTAGACTACCCTCGTATCTTTTAAAAACCATAATTTTACATTAAGACCGCGGCTTTAGTGCGTGATCGCTGATTATAACAATTACCGGTGAACCGTCGTTGACATTGACCTTCCATGGGTTCAGGTTCCTCATATAATTTAATAGTTCGTTCAACTTGCAGTCGCATGTTATTTAAACGTGACGTGATGATTTTCGAAGACGATTGGGTTTATTAAACCGAAGGGAGATGCCCTATTATCCTGGATACGACATATCCCCCGGGCTTAGAAAGCTGGGCCCCAGCTTTACAAACAAAATATTATTATACAATATTTTATACGATAAGGTTGAAGAAAAAAACTAAAATAAAAAAATTTACGAGATGAAGTCGTCGCGTGAAACGGTAGGAGTCTGCTCTTCTTCCGAGTTCCCTGGAAAATTTAGAGTTGAAGTTCTGATGACATACATAGCCTTGCCAAACTTAGTTCCATTAAATGGTGTCCATGCTTTTAATTCAAGGTTTTTTTCTGGGGTTTTGCTGGAAAATCGGTGATTGTGGGGTATAGCTCGTTCTGGAACCATACTGGTCCTTGGTCAACTTGCCAGCGATGTGCTAAAACGGCTTCTTTTTTT